TGCTTGTGCATTTGGTTCTGATATCTTTTCCCACACAATTCAGTCAATTTAAGGTGAGCTACAACTGTCAAAAAGAGACTTGGTCTCTTAATGAGCTCATCTCACATTGTGTGCAAGAAGAGGAGAGGTTAAAGCAAGAAAAGATAGAAAGTGCTCATTTGGCTGGTACTTCCAAGGATAAAAGGAAGAAAAGAAAGAAGGATAAAGAAGCTGCAGAGGTTCCATATCCAAAGAAACAACATAAAGAAAAAAATGTTGATGGTTGTTTCTTTTGTGGAGCTGCGGGACATAAGAAGAAGCAGTGTACCAACTATCATGCTTGGCGTGCAAAGAAAGGTACACTTCTTAATCTAGTTTGTTCTGAGGTTAATTTGACTTTGGTACCTAAACACCCTTGGTGGATAGATTCTGGTGCTATCACTCATATCAGTGTCTCCATGCAGGGTTGCCTGAGCTGCCGATAGTCAAATGATGGTGAAAGATACATCTTTGTAGGCAATGGCAAGAAGGTCGAAGTTGAGGCAATTGAGATATTTAGCTTATTATTATAGTCTGGTACTTATTTGGATTTAAATGAGACATTTGTTGTACCGTCCTTTAGACGGAATTTGGTTTCTATTTCTGTATTGGACAAATTTGGTTATTCTTGTTCTTTTGGAAATAATAAATTTAGTTTTTTTCAGAATTCAAATTTGGTTTGTACTGGTTCTTTATCTACTGAAGATAACCTTTATTTGCTTGATACAGTTGCTTCATATCATGAAACCTTGCAATTAAGTACTCGATGTGTTAAAAGAAAATTAACCAATGAGAATTCCTCATCATTATGGCATAAGAGATTAGGTCACATTTCCAAAAAGAGAATTGAAAGACTTGTGTCAGATGGGATTCTAGATTCCCTTGATTTTGCAGATTTTGAAATTTGCACAAAATGCATAAAGGGAAAACAAACAAACACAAGGAGATTTGGTGCCAACAGGGCTACGGATGTCTTAGAACTGATACATACAGATATTTGTGGGTCATTTCCTACGAATTCATGGAATGGCCAACAATATTTTATCACGTTCATAGATGATTTTTCACGTTATGGCTATCTTTATCTCATTCATGAAAAGTCCCAATCACTAGAAGTGTTCAAATCGTTCAAAGTTGAAGTTGAAAATCAACTCAACAGAAGGATTAAAAACATCAGATCTGACCGTGGTGGTGAATACTATGGTAAGTATGACGGTTCAGATGAACAACGTCCGGAACCATTTGTTAAATTCCTAGAGGAGTGCGGTATCGTCCCGCAGTACACCGTGCCAGGTTCTCCAAGCATGAATGATGTTGCTGAAAGGCGAGACAGAACGCTCAAAGACATGGTAAAGAGTATGATTAGTCATTCTAACTTGCCAGAATCACTCTGGGGTGAAACATTAAAGACTGCAGCGTATATCCTTAACAGAGTACCAACTAAAGCAACTATTAAAACCCCTTATGAACTTTGGACAGGCAAGAAGCCTAGTCTGAAGCACTTACACATTTGGGGATGTCCAACTGAAACAAGGCCTTACAGGCCACATGAAAAGAAACTGGATTCCAGAACAGTTAGTTGTTATTTTATTGGATACTCCGAAAGATCCAGGGGTTACAAATTCTATGATCCTACTACTAGATCAATTTTTGAGACGGGAAACGCCTGGTTCTTTGAGGATGATGAGTTTGATGGGGGAAATAAGGATAGGAATTTTGTTTTTGAAGAGGAATATGTTGATATTCCCACAACTGTTATTGACATTGATCAGGCTCCTATACCTGACATTGTTCAAGAAGCAGATTCAAATCAAAACAATATCCAAGAACCTCCTGTTCTAGAAGAACAAACTCTACCTCCTCCAGAACCTACGCCATTAAGGAGATCCACTAGAGAAAGGAGAAGTGCAGTGCCAGATGATTACATTGTATTTCTCCAAGAACATGAGTTTGACATTGGTACGGTTGAAGATGATCCAATCAACTTCCGTCAAGCTCTGGAAAGTTCTAAATCTCAAGAGTGGATTGATGCCATGAATGAGGAGATAAAGTCCATGAAGGACAATGTCGTTTGGGATCTTGTCTCATTGCCTGAAGGTGTGAAACCCATTGGTTGCAAATGGATATTTAAAACCAAGAGGGATTCGAAAGGTGATGTGGAGAGATACAAAGCTCGTCTTGTCGCTAAAAGAAAAGAAGGCATCGATTATAAAGAGACTTTCTCTCCGGTTTCATCGAAAGACTCTTTTAGGACAAGAATGACACTTGAGGCGCACTTTGACCTTGAGCTTTATCAGATGGATGTTAAGACTACATTTCTTAATGGTGACATTGATGAAACAATCTATATGGTGCAACCAAAAAAATTTGTGTCAGGAGATGCAAAGAAGATGGTTTGCAAGTTAAAGAAATCCATCTATGGGCTTAAGCAAGCTTCTCGTCAATGATATTACAATTTTCATCAAGTTATCATTTCGTTTGGTTTTGAAATGAATATAATTGATGATTATATATACCATAAGTTTAGTGGGATTAAACATATTTACTTGGTTTTATATGTTGATGACATATTGCTTGCCACCAACGATATAGGCATGTTGCATGAAACCAAGAGATTTCTATCAAAGAAATTTGAGATGAAAGATCTTGGTGATGCTTCTTTTGTGTTGGGTATACAGATACACCGGGATCGCTCTCGGGGTACACTTGGTTTATCACAAAAGAGCTATATCGAGAAAATTCTTAAAAGGTTTGGCATGCATGATTGCAAACCAGGTGACACCCCTGTGGCTAAGGGAGACAAATTTAGTCTCAGTCAATGCCCCAAGAATAATTTAGAGATTCAGGAGATGCAAAAGATTCCTTATGCATCAGCAATAGGAAGTCTAATGTATGCTCAAGTATGTACGTGTCCGGATATTGCGTACATTGTTGGCGTGTTGGGCAGATACTTAAGCAATCCTGGAAAGGATCATTGGGTAGCAGCCAAGCGAGTTATAAGGTACTTACAGAGAACAAAAGACTACATGCTCACTTATCGAAAGTCAAATCAGTTAGAGATCATTGGATATTCTGACTCCGATTTTGCTGGATGACGAGATAGCATGAAATCTACTTCAGGCTATATCTACTTACTTGCTGGAGGTGCTATATCTTGGAAAAGTGTTAAACAGTCTATTGTAGCTTCTTCCACCATGGCAGTTGAGTTTGTAGCTTGTTATGAGGCATCCAATCATGGAATATGGTTGCGAAAGTTTGTCACGGGGCTGCGTATTCTAGATGGTATTGAAAGACCACTTAAGTTATTTTGTGACAATAAATCTGCAGTATTGTATTCCAACAACAACAGGAGTTCGACGAAGTCAAAATTTATAGACATCAAATTCCTAGTTGTCAAAGAAAGAGTTCAGAGTGGACTTATATCTATAGAGCACATTGGGACAAACTCCATGATTGCAGATCCACTAACTAAGGGATTACCACCCAAGGTTTTTCATGAGCACACTGCTCATATGGGTGTGGTTTCTCTTTAGGATATATCGTTTTAGTGGGAGTTTGTATTTTAGATGCTTTTATTTATAGATTTATTTGTTATAGATATTATGATTATTTACTGCAGTAAAGTATTCAGTTTTCATTCACTCTGATTTTGTATGGTTTGATCTCACTAAGGTTTAAGGAGGATCAGTTGGAAATAGGCATGTTAAGATCACATTGCATGAAATTTCCATACTACACATCCACACTTGATCTTTGTTATTAGTTGCATTGATATATGTGATCATTGATGGATCTAGTTACAAAATATGTAACGACGATCGCTTTGGTTCTGTATTGGTATGGTTAATGGACAAGATTGTTAAAATATATAAAGTTTTGATAGAGAAACTCATGAGCTCATAAAAGTATAATTCATATTTATAAAGTTACATATATAGCCCAAGTAGGAGATTGTTGGAGTAAAATTAAATATATGGGCTTATATATTAATAAATGTGAATTATAGGCTATCAATAAAGTTAGGCTAATTAAAGTGATTAATTTAAGTTTTGGGGCCTTAATTAATATATTATAAAGTGTGGGCATTAATTTGTAGAGACAAACGTAATTTCTATTTTTATGATGAGTTAAAATAGAAATTACGAACAGACGTGACTGTTAATAAATAGACACAATTGTTTATAAATATGGGTCATGGTCCCTAGATTATTCTTCTGATTCCCATTGTCAGAAAAAAATTTAGACAAAAAACAAGTGTAGATCTAGAAGATCATAAAACCTCATACAATAAGTGTAGATCTAAAATTACAAGTTTAATCATAAATCCTCATACTCGAATATTGCAATATTTTGTTATTGATTCAAGTACGCTTCCGCAAATCCAATATTTTAATTCTTGATGATTCAATATGCATGTTCCTGTTTGTTTGATAATTTTCACATAATGAAATCAATCTTACAAATAAAACCAAAGATCTCAAGTCGTTGCTTGCAAATGGTTTCTGTCAACTCATTCTTAATGATCTATTGTTGCTAGAGGGAGAAGTTATAGCAACGAGCTGCTAAGGAGTGACTGTGAATGAATATATTCGCAAAACCTTGCAAGTAACACTAATTGCAAATAAATTATGTAAAAACTGACTTAGATAGCTTGAACATTTTTATAGAAGAAATAATAATGTACAAGCAATGAAATGTAATTCAATTTATATCGATCATAATGCAATAGGTAAAAGTAAGCCAAATTCATTTTGAATGAAATGCTAAAAAAAGAATATGATTGCTCACAATTTAGCAAAATATGGTCATTAATTCAACATTAAAGAGAGACAGAATTCATGCACATGACTCCGAACTGATTTAAAGACTTTGTTGGGTTGAGTGAAGGTGGGCGAAGGCGTATGTTCGCATATTGCATCAATATCAGGATCATATTCAGTAATATGAGTAAATCCCGAGGGTTTTATCTGTTTTTTTTTTTTGGGTCATATGGTTTAATCTGTTTACTACATCAATTATAACAGCAATTTCACATTGCGTGTGCCAAACAACGAGATAGGATTTTATTTTTAATAGCTCAGAAAAAACCATCCCACGAGTCCATATCAAAAGGTTCTTACAAGGAAACTTCCCCCCTATCAGTTTGTGGTAAACAATCCAAAAATTAAGTACTTGATAACTGAAGTAATGGCAGAGCAGCAGTACATGTGACAACGGGCAGCTTTCCTACAATGCGCTTTAAAACTGGTATTCCAGGTCAAGCAGTCCTAAGTGGAGGGGAGACCAATATGACACCATCTCCTCGGACAAAGAGAAATGGAACGGTGCGCCTTGTCGGCTGAGTCAAGGAAAAAGATAAGTCAAATTATCAAAGATCATCACCTTCAATACAAAAGAATGTCAACAACTGTAAATTATTCAACCCAATAAAATCATTCTATTCCCTGCATGAAGAGAACAAGCCTTCATGGCATTAATAAGAGTCATGAAATTATATAGGATCTTCCTTGCACCCTTCATTTTCTACTGGACGGCCTTGTTCTTTGCATCCAACCAAAAAATAAAAGTTCACGAATAAACCCACCTGAAAATTTTTTTGAAGTAACAGATACTAGTTTACTCTTTGTTTTTTCTTCTCTTAATTTTGCATGTGGAATTAGCCATAAAACTAAAACCTAAGAGAGGATTAACTACTCATTAACTTAAGTTCCATCCTATTTCGTTCAATGGGAATTCAGAGTGTAAGGCAACGTGTTTACCACTTACTACCATTCCATCATGGAATATTATATTAATATTTGTCCAAGGAAAACCTTCTTCAGGTGTCCTGACGAAGTGAAGACTGCCCAAGAATCTAGAAACAACAACTAAATACCAGACCGCCATATAGCCCATAAGCAACCAAAAAAAAAAAGGATCTAATCTGTAAGATATATGTGCCCTAAGCAACTCAAGCACTTAATGTTATGGGATGTAAAGCGTCACTGGGCATAACAAAAGGTGCACCAAACTAAAAAAGACAAACTCAGCAGTTGTAAGAAGTTAAGCTCTGATAGCTGTTCCTCTACTAATCTTGTTTGGCCACTAAAAGAACACTAGAAATGGAGAACTGCGGCCTTCTGGAGATACAGACTTTGGTAAGATATAACTTAGACAGTGTTGTGGATGATGTTTGTCATTTTTAGTCAACAAAAAGTTCTCTTTTACGGTGTTTACACCAAAGATCGTGGATCTTGACATATCCCTTTACAACTCAGATACAAACACTTTATCTCTTAAACAAACAGGTATTAGAAAAAAACAAAACTGCAATATCAGGACATCCAAAACTTTAGCAGACATGTATTTCAACAATAAAATCTGTTTTCCAAAAAATATCAAGTCTTGACACCTAACTGGAATAGCAGACAATTTTTCAATGCAGCTAAGAAGGCTCCTAATGATCAGGTGATTGACTTCTTTAATAGTGACAAATTATACCATAGAACTTGCAAAGATCACAATGGTGAGAATGGTTTATTATAACTCATGGATGCCTTCCCACATGTTTAGTTTGCAGAGCAAATAATGTTGAGTCTAAGGCTAACAAATAAATGGGGAAACGAAATATAGCATACCCGGACAATCTCCTCGTAAGTTTCATCATCAATTTCCACAGTTGTAACAATCTCTTCCACATCTCCTAGAATCATATTCAAATGCTGATCATAAGCCTGCCAAAATTTCCATATTGTCATAACAAAGAAGAGATATAATAATTCCAGCACAAATTGAAGATATATTAGCAGTTGAAGAATACATAGGTTGAAGTTACTGAAAGGATCTCTTCCGGGCAGCCCCTTATTAAGTTTGTCGCCAAAGAAAGTTTCATACAATTTTGGTTCAAAAATTAGGCATTTACAAATGCATGAACATTTGAAAAGCATGCAAAGGCCAAGCAAAACATTTTATCCCTTCATTGTTTCAATAACTGTAATAAAAAACTTGATTTTTAATAGATTTTAGAATTTTGGACTGTCATTGAACACTTGGTCTGATTAAGAATCGAACATATGTCAGGTGATTTTTCAAAAATAACCAAGATCTGGAATCATGGGAAGAGTTGTTATTACAGGAAATTATACTCCTTGGAAGTTAGTTGTAGTAAACTTTTCACTTGACTAGATAAACCCAAATCCAGGAGCCATTATTGGGTACTCCATCCCCACAACTCAAGCCACATGAACCTGAATGCTTCAGCAGGGGCAGATTATCGAAAATTTGCTGCAAGCAGTGCAGGTGCTTTGAGCAAAAGGATTGCAGAGGGGCTCTTATGGAGATTCCTAAAGGCAAAGGCACTCTTGAAGAAATATGATTTTGTAGGTGAGTAAGAAAAGCCTGTCTAAAAACTTGGAAAAAAAATATAATCTCAAACGGCAATGTATTGAAGAATTTGTCGATGCACTGCTCTTTTTGAAGTAAAAAAAAAAAATCCAATCAAAACAAATCTAGAAGTAAAAAATATGCTCTTCTGGTTATATTCCCCTTTAAACATAATTGCTCATCTAGGTTTCCGCAATTACAAATAATTATCAAATTAACCATGTGAAACCCTAGATTGGGACAATCAAAATCAACAATCCCACGGCAATATAAAAAGAAATCATTGACTCATATCTAAACGAGAAAGTTAAAAACAAGACTATAAGACGAGTATAAACAACAATTACGAACAAAAAACAAATACATGTGGTTGATGGTGGTGGTGATTGAGAAGAGGAGGAGGAAGAGATTGATGGACTGACATGGAGTTTGCCGCGGAGTTCGCGGTCGGAACGAAGCTTGACGTAGATACGCTCGTCTAGGCTGAGTCTGATGAGATCCAACGGCTCTCTCACTGCGCTTTCTTCTTCGCTCGCCATTCTCTCTCTCCCTATCTCCAAACTCACTGTCTGCTCTCTGTTGGTACTTGGTAGGTATATGTAAAGAGCGGCGCGGGGGTGTCTTTTGTTTTGTCAATGAGATTTTTTCGTACTTTATAAGATTTTTACTTCGTATTTTTATAGATTAATTTTTGAAAAAATTACAGTCACACCTCTTTTAGTTTAGAGCTAATTTCAATTTATACCTAAAGGATTACTTAAATTTCAACTTATACCTTTAAAGTTTAAAAATATTAATTTATACCCCAAAAAATATAAATTCGTATCAATGTGTACTTAAGCTTAACTGACATTCATTTTGTAGGTTAAAAAGTTTAGACTAATTATAAATTACATGTTTAAAGTTTAAATATTTCATATTTATGATCCAAAAAAAATTTCTTTCATTAATACTCGTTAAGTAGTTCACAATTATAACTTGTCATGTTCGAGTCAAAAAAAAATATTTTTAAAATTTAAAAAATTTATATAATACTTATTTTTGTTTACAATACTTGTTAAATATTTATTTTCTATCTACAGTTAGGCATGAATCTTTTGACTGTTCAATCAAATTAAATTTAGATATGAATAACACAACCGAAAACAGAAAATAACTATTTAATAAGTATTGTAAATAAAAAAAAATAGGTATTTTAATAATTTTTTAAAAAAATATTAAAAAATAGTATATAAATTGTCATAAATGTGAAATATACGACATAACGCAATTGATTCGACACAAAAATATTTTGTGTTAAAAATATTTTTTTATCAACTTGAACACAACACGAAAATGATACGACATGACACAAAATAGCACGATACGACACAATTGAGAAGTATTTAACTAGTATTAATGAAAAAAATTCTTTTTTAATCATAAATATAAAATATTTAAATATTGAAGGTGCAATTTATAATTATCCCAAACTTTTTTAAGGACAAAATGGATGTTAGTTAACTCTGGTGTGCATTGATACAAATTTATCTCTTTTTGGGTGTTAATTGATATTTTTAAACTTTGAGAGTACGAATTAAAATTCGAGTGATCTTTTGAGATGTAAATTGAGATTAGCCCTTTAGTTTACCATCCTCTATTATCAAAAACATATAACGAGTAATGCTAGATGAACTTAAAAATTAGACTTGATAATCTCAATCATTGAATAGGTAGTGAGTATCAATAAATTCTGGAACCTACAGTGAAATTGATGGTCGAGATTATCAAGTCTAATTTTTAAGTTTACTTTTTAAATCTATGTAGCATTGCTCATATATAACTGACAATTTTTTTAGGTTTTATTCAAACATCATTGATACTCCTGTCATTAAATCATCATTTATAACAAAAAAAATTATCACAAATGCCAAAATTGCCTCTACATAATTGCTAAACAATTCTTTTTACATAAAATTCGATTAAAATTTGAGCTGATTAATTTTTTTTCTATATTGAAATTTGAGTATATTAAAATACAATTTGATTCGATTAAATTTTTTTCTATGTATTAAAATTTGAGCTTATTAAAAGTATTTTTTTACGTATTAAAATTCGAGCTAATTTAAGCTCTATTTGAGCTATTAGCCTCGATTAAAATTTGTTTTAAATGGATTAAAAATTATATATTTTATTTATTGAATAAAATTTATTTTTTGAGCCAATTAATATTTTTTTTAATGTATCAAAAATCGGGCCGATTAAAATTTAATACAAGTTAATTAAAATTTGATTTGAGCCTCGAACATAATTTTAATCAACTCAAATTTTAATATGTTAAAAATATAATATGATAGAGTATGTTAGTGAAGATTCAGAAAATAGAGAATGCGTCATTGAAGATATGGTAAATTAGAAGGGGTGTGACTAAAATTTTTCCTTAATTTTTTTATATTATACCCATAATATATCAAAAATATTATCATATAATCATTCTGTTAACTTCCGTTATTTTTTTCGTTAAAAGATAACCAATTGAAATTGACAAAAAAATTAACGAAAAGTTAATAAAAGGGTCACATTATAATTTTTTTTATATATATTAAGGGTGCAATATAAAAAAAATCTAAAAAAAAAAATTTAAGTTATATAGTGTAATTCTCCCTTGTCAATTGGGTCGGGACACTCCGAGTTTCAATCCAATCCGAATTTGAAAATCACGAGCACAGCTGATAAGTTTATATCTATTTGATTCTTCAAGATTTAATTACAATCATTAAATTTTAAATATATTGAGTAATTTTTTAATAAAAATTTTATCTAAATTTATTAATTTGTCCTGGCTTGGCCATAGGGATATTTTATCGAACATAAAACATGTCTGTAAGTTACATTGATATTTCTCTCTTGTCTCATAATATTTATACTATTTTAAAATGTCAAAAACGTGAATTTTTTTTGATTGACCATTATATCCCTATAAAAAACATAAAAGACATATCTTTATGTATTTAATTATCCAATATTAATTAAATATGTAAACGACCCTTCATATATTTTTATTTTCATTGTTATTTGTTTATATTTTTATGTTATATCTATATCTGTACTACTAATAAAAATATGCTAACATAAAAAACTTTTAATTTTCAATTTTGGCCTTAACTATTCTTATAATGTCAATTACATCATTCATATCCTTTTATTAGCTTTCATTTTAAACTATTAAAACTTTTTTTTTCAAATTTATTCTTAATTAGTGTTCTAATATCAATTTAATTATTCATCCATTGCAATAACCAAAATTGATATTTACTCAAAGTTCTAATGCCTTCCATATTTTACTTGCTTTAAAAAAATTATTTAGAGTTGAGACCTTTCAAATTAGAGAACTTAATGTTCCATGTGCAACGATTTACTAACATAAAAATTTTTAATTTTCAATTTTGGCTTTAATTATTCTTATAATGTCAATTCTGGGTTGGCCCAACAGTATGAAAAAAAAAGTATGGGTTTTAGGTCCTAAATTTTTAGAAGGTCTCATAATTTTAGATACATCACTAGCCACAAAAAAACTAAATCTATTAAATTATAAGCCCTACAAAAAAGCCTCAAAAAATTAAATTCAATTAAAATTTTTATTTCAATAATTTGGACCTATAATCCAATCCATAACATTAAAAACTTAGAAATTAAAAAATTAAAAAATACTAAAAAATCAACTTATATTTACTTTTACCAATTTTCTCTCTCCAGTAAAAAAAATAATAAAAAAAATAAAATTTGAAATTAAACACTCTCTCTCCCTTTCTGTGATAAAAAAAAAAACAAAAGTTGAAATCAAACACTATATCTCCCTCTCTGTGGTAAAAAAATAAAAATAAAAGTTGAAATATCTTTCTCGACAATATTAACACATCTTTCTTTTATATAAAAAATTAAAAATAAAATATATTTTTTTAAAAATAATACTAAAAATAAAAAAACATCTATTTAATATTTCTGCTTTAGACCTTAAATTGACTTGAGTCGCCCCTGTGTCAATTACATCATTCATATCTTTGATTAGCTTTCATTTTAAACTATTCAAACTTTTTTTTATATTTATTCTTAATTAGTGTTCTAATATCAATTTAATTGTTCATCCATTTGAAAGGTCTGAACTCTAAATGATTTTTTTAAAGCAAGTAAAATATGGAAGGCATATATGAGCTACAAAGGATTTCACAATACATGCTACAATCAAGTAATTGTTTCTTTATATTCCTCCACAAGTGATGTGTCCATTCTTATTCCTAAGTAATGTTCTTATATTAATGCACGGGATAATACCTGTAATAGTATGAGGCAGCGATCTCCAAACTGACGAACTTGAAATAACAGGGTCAGAAAAAAAGGGGCCAGATGAGTGCCTGGCTAATCCCCTCTGAAGCTTACGTTAGTATAAGGTCGAAGGTTTTTGTTTAATGGACTATTTTTCTGATTCGAGTTTGCGTACCTTTGTCCATTTTTCTGAGGAGTATTTATACCTGAATTAGCAATGATTGCCAAAGATCTCCAATCCCATCTGGACATCTTACATCTGACACACCATTCCTCGTGCAATGAGTGTTTTCTACTCACGTCTCCTTCAATTAAATGCTAGAAAAATGGGGTAAATGCTCGGCCAAATGCCGAGTATTTATGCCATTCCTCGAGTACCCAAGTCCCCCAGATCGGCATCCGACATCCACTAAATATTGAATACTCAGGGGAACAGTTCATCGGGAGAGTCGATCGCGTTGTCTCGGCGCATCAGTCATTAATGCTTAGCCATCATGACAGTAGGCTTAGACTTCTAGAGGGCAGGTGCTGGCAAGCGTGCATCTATTTACCTTGTTTTTATCACTTATTCCGCCATAAATGAGGGGTCATATCGCATTAAATACGATCCCAATTGTCGTACTCGGCTACTCTGTGTCACCATACCTCGGCGGCACTCTTTGGATATCCCAACGACTTCATTATGCCACGTGTCAACCCGGGAGCTGTAGAGCCACCTAGGGTCCCGCCAACTGTCCCCTAGTCGACATCCTTTTCGCAGTGTAAGACAAGTGGCGTAAAAAAATTGTGGGCTCCATCATCACGCCTTATTAATAGTGATGGTTCCTTGCACGTCTGGTGTCGCCCTTTTCAAAAGTCGTAATGATGACCCAACTTTTTGATTCCCGTTCCTTGTGAGGGAGCATAAATAGGAGGTTTTCATACTTTCTCAGAACTTTTGCATCCTCAACCTCTCTTCAACAATCAGATCCCGAGTGATCCTCTGTTCTTCTCCAAGTTTTCTTCGTCCTCCGAGCTCTCTCTTTGAAGACCACCTTCTTGTAAGTACTTCTACGTGAGCTTTTTCTCTCTTCATTTCCTCTACATTTCTTCCTTTTAGCGCCCGCCAATGACTAGAACTAGTAGAACCAGGGGGAAGACGTCTGTTAGGGCTAGGACTACCCATAAGATGAGGAGAACCCAAGTGACTGATGAGAATATCCAAGCCTTTAGGGTTAGGTACCACATTTGTGAGTCTGTCTTCGCTTTCCCCTTCAACCCCACTCACCATAGGAGGGATAAGGGAAATGTGGACATGATGCTTTTCTGAACGAAGGCCATCATGGAAGGAGG